GGCCGAGGCCGAAGAAGAGGAAGAGGAAGCGACCCAGGCCGGACAGTCTCTGCTCGAGGTTCTGGGAGCCGAGAGAAGGGACAAGGTCTTGTCTGCTCTGTTCATCTGCCGCTGCGATACTTCTGGTCTCGTCAAGAGTGCAGCGATGGCCGTCTGGAAGGCGCTTGTTGCGTCGCCCAAGTCCCTCAAGGACATGGTCCCCGCCCTGTCCCAGCTCATCATCCGTCGCCTCGGTTCGTCGAACATGGAGCACAAGGTTATTGCAAGCAACGCCCTTGGAGACCTCATCAAAAAGGCTGGAGAATCGGTTCTGGCTACCTTGCTGCCTTCCCTCGAGGAGGGTCTGCGTACCTCGCCAGATGTCGACGTTAAGCAGGGTATTTGTATTGCGCTGCGCGAGGTCATTACCTCTGCTTCCGTTGATGCCCTTGAGGATTATGAGAAGATTCTCATTTCCACCGTCAGAGTGGCCTTGGTTGACAACGACGAGGACGTTCGTGAGGCTGCCGCTGAAGCGTTTGACGCTCTTCAGCAGATCCTGGGCAAGAAGGCTGTCGACCAAGTTCTGCCTTACCTCCTGCACCTCCTGAGAAACGACGAGGATGCAGAGCAGGCTCTTTCTGCGCTCCTGACACTGCTCACCGAACAGACTCGTGCCAACATCATTCTGCCCAACCTTATCCCGACTCTGCTCACACCTCCTATTTCTGCGTTCAACGCCAGGGCTATTTCCTCTCTGGCCCAGGTGGCATCCTCTGCCATGACTCGCAGACTGCCAACTATCTTGAACTCCTTGATGGATGGCATGATCTCCACCGAGGACGACGACCATCGTCAAGAGTTGAGCAATGCCTTCGACACTGTTCTTGTGTCTGTTGATGAGTATGACGGTCTCAATGTCATGATGAACGTTATGATATCTCTCTTGAAGCACGACGACCACAAGCGCCGGGCCAACGCAGCACTGCACCTCAACAAGTTCTTCTCGGACGCTTCTCTCGATTACTCCAGATACCACCAGGACCTTATCCGCGTTCTGCTCATCTCGTTCAGCGACTACGACGCGGATGTTGTCAAGGCTGCATGGACTGCTCTCAGCGGCCTCACCAAGAACATGCGCAAAGAGGAAATGGAAGTGTTGGCTATTTCTACCCGCCAGATCTTGCGACAAGTCGGTGTCCCTGGATCAGACCTGCCGGGCTTCAGCTTGCCTAAGGGTATCACTGCTGTCCTTCCGATCTTCTTGCAAGGTCTCCTCAACGGTACCGTGGACCAGCGTACACAGGCTGCTCTTGGTATCGGCGACATCATCGACCGTACGAACGCCAATGCTCTGAAGGCGTTCGTCACCCAGATCACCGGTCCTCTGATTCGTGTTGTGTCCGAGCGTTCGGTTGACATCAAGTGCGCCATTTTCTTCACCCTCAACAAACTCTTGGAGAAGATCCCGCTTGCTGTCAAGCCATTCTTGCCGCAGCTCCAGCGTACCTTTGCTCGTGGTCTTGCGGACTCTACAAGTGAGACTCTGCGTAACAGAGCCGCCAAGGGTCTTGGTATCTTGATTACCTTGACTCCTAGGGTTGATCCTCTTATTGCAGAACTCATTACTGGTTCGAAGACGCCCGATGTGGGTGTGAAAAACGCCATGATGAAGGCCCTTCAAGAAGTCGTTGGCAAGGCTGGCTCCAACATGAGCGAAGCCTCCAAGAATGCTATTCTTGGACTTATCGACGCCGACACCAGCGACCAGACCGGTAAGTGTATACAGCCTACAGTACGCAATTACAATTCTAACATGCGAGTAGACTCCGTGGCCATCACAAACGCCAGGCTGCTTGGTGCTCTCGTCAAGGTTCTTCCTGCTGCCACCGCTGGGCCGCTCATCAAGTAAGTTGACTACGATATCGCTGGTGGTAAAGCAAGTGCTAACTACGTTAAAGGAACCGTGTTCTCGTGTCCCAGGCTTCTCATGCATCTGTCCTCGGACTCAATGCCCTGCTTGTTGAGTCGCCATCGTCTCTGATGGAGAACTTCGCAGCCGAGACACAATCTGCTATTTGCCAGGGCTTGTCGCACCAGGACGTAAGTTTTACTCCGTTCTAAAACAGCAATGCAAGGACAATGCTGACTCGAAACAGACCTTTATCTCCGACAACAGTGCCCTTGCTCTCGGTAAATACCTGCTGGTGGAAGATGAGCACCGCAGCTTCGAAACCAACAAGACAGTCTTTGAGGCCTTGGCATTGTGCATTAAACCGGGTACCCCCTCTGACACCCGCCGATTGGCTCTGGTGGTGATCCGGACCGTCAGCCGACTGCACCCCGAGCTTACCCGGCCCCATCTGGCCCTCCTCGCCCAGCCAATCTTCGCCTGCGTTCGCGACCTCGTCATCCCCGTCAAGCTCGCAGCCGAAGCAGCTTTCCTCTCCATCTTCTCCGTGGAGGAGTCCGAGAGTGCCGTCTTCGACAAGTACATGGCCGGCCCTGGCGCGGAACTCCCGCCGGGACCCAAGCGGAGCATGTCGGACTACTTCAAGCGTGTTGCGCTACGTCTTGCTACACAGGCTAGGGAGCGCAAGGAGGCTGAGGGTGGACATGGCGGACTGGGTCTGTCGAACGACGAGATGGATGATGAGAAGGAATTGTGGAGTATTGGGAAAGTTGACCTTGGGGAAGTGACATTCGATGAGTGATTGTTTGAGCCTATCGCATATTGTGGATAGATGTTGCATCGGGTGTATATGTTTTAAAAGTTGTTCGAATACATTGTTCTTATTCGTCCTGTCTGTTGTCCCATACTATGACATACACGGTAGGTGTCACGTGACCCATAACTAAGCGACCCACCACGATATCCGAGCATTCAAGTCGATGAACAGAGTTAAAAACAAGATACCATCATCTCAACCAGAAATAGTATCCAAAATATGAAGAATTGTACGGGGTATTATATGCAAAATAGAATGATCTCCAGCCAGTTGCGGCTCTAAGTCGGGAAGCGTATGGGGCACAAGCCCTAGAGTGGAGCCACTCGCTTAGGGGCACAGTGGATTAGCTAATCACCCGGTGTATCTCAAACTCCTCACTGGGAATTCTACCCGTAGTCGAGTGCAACGAACACCATCCGCCAACGACCGTCGATACGCCGACATCAAGATGTGAGTTCCATCGTGCGAACCTGATATTGTCATTCTACGGGGAATTATTGTTCTTGAGGTTTTTTCCCGACTTGAAAAGACCCCTCCAAAATTCCCCTTCAGAATGATGTATCAGGGGGGCGACAGCCTCCGAACAAAAAAAAAAAAAATACCACAGAAATCAACACGATACTGACTTCTGTGTCTACACAGGGTCAACCTTCGCACCCAGAAGCGCCTCGCCGCCTCCGTGGTGGGCTGCGGCCAGCGCAAGATTTGGCTCGACCCCAATGAGATGAACGAGATCTCCAACGCCAACTCCCGCCAGACCGTCCGCAAGCTCGTCAGCGATGGCCTTATCATCCGCAAGCCCGTGACCATGCACTCCCGTGCTCGCGCCCGTGAGCTCAACGAGGCCCGCAGAATCGGCAGAAACCGCGGCCTGGGTAAGCGTAAGGGTACCAAGGAGGCCCGTATGCCCAGGTATGCTTTTCTTCCCTACCTTTCGCGATCGATCGACCGTCTATGAGAAATAAATCAGCGGATATATGTGATATTAGAAGGGAATGCTGATGGGTTTTTCTCCAGCCACATCCTCTGGATGCGCCGCATGCGTGTTCTCCGTCGCCTGCTAGTCCGCTACCGTGCCTCTGGCAAGATCGACAAGCACCTCTACCACGAGCTCTACCACCTGAGCAAGGGTAACACCTTCAAGCACAAGCGCGCTCTCGTTGAGCACGTAAGTTTTCCCGCATTGGATGGATATACTTGGTTCTACTGGAAATGGGGAGGCTAGTTGGCAGTACGAGATGCTGACTTACATACAGATCCAAAGGGCCAAGGCTGAGAGACTCCGTGAGCGTACTCTCAAGGAAGAGATGGACGCTAAGCGTGCCAAGAACAAGGCTCTCCGTGAGAGACGGCAGGAGCGTGTTGAGTCCAAGCGCAACGCCCAGGCCGAGGGCCAGGAGTAAAAATGCTCTGATGTTTGGCGGTGCGGAGGTTGAACTGGAGGAATCAATCAGCCCATCGAATCCGGTCGACTACGTTGTTTTCTTTTCTCGAATTTGGGCTCGGTGGCTTGGTTCATCCGGGACGGGTACAACATGGCAACCTGGAATGGGGTTCGGGAACAGAGAAAATGTGATGCATCTTTTCCTCGACAGGGGGAAAGAGAATGGAGAAACAAAAAAATTTATAAACCCAAAACAATGGCATGGCGCTTTGTGTGATACGAAATTTTGCGGAATTTTTTATTTTCTTTTCGATATATTCGCATTTCTCTTTTTCCAGACTCCATCTAACAAGACACGCCCGATGATGATCCCTCCATTTCGACCTCCCATGGCATTCCATTCAGGTTAAAATTGTTATTCTAATGTCGTAACGGTGTTTTAACTATGTATTCAATGTACTGGGTTCAGTCTTTATTCCATAGTATCAACCCTTAAGATATTCGACTTTCCCTTTCCCTTTGCCTCTTGATTCAATAAGGCCAGAACAGACATCTCGAGTCCTGCATGGCGTATTGCAAAAGTACATACAGAGTGCACGCGCTCACTTACCCCACCTGTACTTTTTTTTCTGCGGAGTAAGTCCCGTCCGTCCCGCATTGATGATGGCATAGCAAACGGTGATGGCATAACAACTGGATCGCTGTTTGGTGTGTTTCGTGTATATTGCATGGATCGAGTGATAGTATGATGGTGATGGTATTTTCTTGTTCTTTTCTTTGAACTGTTGGCCAACGTTGTGTATCCGGGGTATATATATTTGCTTCGACATATACTGCAATCCAGGCCCAGAAATTATAAGGAATAGAGCAGGAAGAGAAAAAGATAGAACAAATGAAATATATTCAATCCCAGGGTATCAACAAACTACACTATAGTTACCATGCACGCAATGCAATGCTTAAATACAGAGTACAAACAAAATCAAACCAAACCCTCCCCGTAAGCACTCAATGCCATCCCTCGCTGTTTTCGCACTTAATATCATAGCTCATGTCGCATCTCAAGACATACTCCCAGAGCACGCCTTTAACCAAGTTTTAAACTCCCCGATAAACAAGAATCACGCTCGCGAATGCACCGCATCCACAGGGACCTCCAAATCAAACGGATCACTCCTTGCACTCCTCGCACTCCTCGCACTAATCCTCCTCGCTGATAGATCGATTACCCGTGGAGACGTGGCACTCGGGCTCGATAACCGGTAGCTGATCACCTGCAGACTGCCAACGGAGCTGTTTCGGCCAGGCAGGATGATTGTACTCCCCAGACTGTGGTCGCTGCCGTACAGGGAGCGCGGGATGACGAGGCTGTTTTGTCCTTGTGGTTGCCATTCGATGATGTTTGGTTTTGATGGGCGGACTTGTTTCCATGTTGGGCTGGTGTTGGTGTTATTTGGGGAGGTTGGGTCTGCGAAGGGGTTGGGGAGTATGGTGCTGGGACCCCGGTTGTCGAGTTGTGCTTCGATGCAGGCTTCGGTGGACTTGGAGAATGGGTTGTGGAAGAGGATTGGTTTTGGAGGGATCAGTTCAGGCGTAGGCGTAAGTTGTAAACGGTTGGGCGGTGATTGCCCGGATGGTGGACTCTGGAAAGAAAACACTGAACGGTGACGCGGCGCCCAGCTGGTCAGGGTGGGAACGGAATTCCGATCAATCCGCGAGAGTTTTCCATTCGAGCTTAGACTTTTGGTATCGCCGTACATCCGTCGCCGGCGCCGGAGTAGAAGGAAGCATATTAAAGCAACGAACGCGATGAAGCCAAGCACACCCAGTATGCTCCCGACTATCACGCGGGGGAGATTATCTTTGTTGAGACCATCTGTTTTCTGAGTTGAACTGTCCCCAGCGGATCCTGTCCCTGTTGTTGTCGTTGCTGAAGGCGTTGTACTGATTGAAGATGTTGCACTATGAGAGGCCCCGAATATCCTGGAGTCGACGGTAGGTGTTGATGTATCTGCCTCCGTCTTCGAGCCCGTAGACGAGGTCTCTGATGCCACTGGTGTAGGAGGGAAAACGCCGACATTCGGTGGAGAAGTGACCTGAACCTCCGGAGTCAGCGAGATAGTCGGGTGGATCTTCTCCGGAGGGTCGAGCAACGTCGATGGCCTAATAGAGAAAGTCGAAGGTGTTGAATATGCTCCTGATAATGCCAAAGATGACTGGGGCAATGGAGTCGCGAATAGAGAAAATGAGGTCGATGCTAACGGTGATAATGGCCCCGGTGATGCCGCTGGAACAGACACTGGAATAGAAACTCGTTTAACTTTGGTACATCTTAAGCCGCGATTGAAGATGACCGATGGACTTGACATCTCGCCGAATCCGTGGGGCAACAGTGCTCTGCTAGACCAACAAACACAGAGGATTGTCAAGGACCATACGGCATGGAGGGCTCAGAGGGAATGGCGAATATTAGGTGGCGTGTAATAGTTCGTGAAGTATTGCGATATTACTGGCGCAAGGGGCAGCAGATAATAGTAAACAAAAGAAAACTGGGAGGGAAAGGGGAGAGGAAAAGAAGAAACGAAAAAAAAAAAAAAGAAAACAAAGTCCGGAGAAAGACACAAGCATAATTCTGATGCTATTCCTATTCCTATTTTTGCTTTCCTGGCAGAAGAACGGGCAGAAGGACCCAGCGTGACCCCGGAGGAGAGCCATGACAATCCGTGTCAGAGACCCTCACCAGATCGAATTCTGCTGTTTCAGGATGAATGGTGAGGCACTAGGAACGTGGCAATGCACCCGGACTAGTACGGAGTATTGAGAGATCAGAAACTCGCACCATAAAAAAAAGGGAGATCCTCCTTGCAATTCCATATACTTTGATAGCGCACATCCAAGAAGCAGATGAATATTCAGTCGATGATAGCGCCGGAGATGGGCCAATGCGGAGTGAAACAAGCAGGATTAGCAGCATTTAAACTCGACCTGGCGTGAAACAAGCGCTTAGCAAGACCAATGCAGATATTCAGCCGGATAAGCCGAAGTTTGTATAGAGAGAGAGCAGGCTGAAACAGCTGGGGGAGTCAGCAATGGATAGTCGGTGGGTTGGTCTCATGATCAATAATTCCCGAAAGGAATCAATGCATGGCCATTGGAGATCAAACACCGGTGTGGTTGGTCTGATCGACTGTACTCCGTACTTTATACATTTATGCGTACGAGTATTAGTTCGTTCCGATGTGGTTTTTCCGTTCCGCGCGAGGCTGCCCTCTTTCTTCCCGATGTACTCCGTAGATAGCTTCAGTTAAACCTCTTCTTCATTGCCTCGACATATTTAAATTGCTAACAGTTTCGATTTACTAGTAAATAGAACACTCCTTGGAATGAATACAGGAATATCAGAAATCGATTAAATGATAAAGAATCTACTCTGTACGAGCTTTGAAAACACTCGGTCAGGGTTAAATGGTACTAAACCAGCTGCTGTAAAGCTATGTTTAATAGTATCAGGTTTGAAAGCTTCATTTCGTGCTTTTGGGTAGGCTTCGAGGAAGTCTAATTTGTTGATATGGTTGATCCCAAGACACATTCTGGTTTCAACAAGTTGACTGTACGATCGCTTTAACACTGCAAAACAACCAATATCAAGCAGCTATAAAAGATGTGATGAATGTGCTGGCATGCAGATTTGAATGATATCATTTTGACTGCAAATTTCATCAAATTTCAGTGTCAAATGACTATCATGGCTGTCAAGGATCAAAAGCAAATATTTCCCTTTTGTATGAGCAGTTGTTGATGGAATAAAGAGCTTTTGGAGCCACTGAAGCCCAATTTCATCAGAAGTCCATCCATTTGGGCTAACTTCAAAGAGCCAGTCGCCTGGGACATTGTCAAACCAACCCTCAATAAAGACCTTGCCTTTGAAAATAATGCATGGAGGCAAGGCCCACCCTGATGTGCTTATTGCCTCAATTGCAGTGACCCATTCATGATTTCCAGGCTGTAAAAGGGATCACTGATCATGGTATTCAGACCTTGTAATCACTTTTGCAGTTGCAGTTAAGCCCATTGCAAAGCCAGTTTCATCAAAGTTGTAGATATCATCAGGGTCAATGCCATATTGAAGTATTGTACATTGCACACAATTAAACCACTCTTGGATGATTTTTAGGTCTTCACACTTTGCATGCTCATAATTATAGCGCATTGAGAATCAGATTGAAAGCTCAGATTGCCTTTTCACAAAGTTTGTAATCCAATTCTCACCAACTGTTTGAACTGGGGTAGATCCACGCGCTGCAAGTAATAGATTAGCCATTTCTCATACAGCAGTAGGCTGAGGCACTGCTCCATGGGAATCCATTGAGAGTATCCATTGTATGAGTGATTCCTCTTCTGTTTGAGACAATTTATGGTTATTGGCGCGTGATTCAGGGCGAAAGACATCACCAGTAAGGCGGCGTTGTAAGGTAGAGCGAGGCACTTGAAAGTGGTGTGCTGCTTTGCAAATAGAGCTAATTTCTTGATTCTTAATAGCCTGGATAGCTAATAAGATCCTACCCTCCTGCTCTATTGAATTATGGGAGCTTCGAGGGCGAATTGGTGGCATGGTGGGTGGTTGAATTAATCAAGTGCTAATTATTGGACGCGTTTTGGTTGGGTGGCCAGCCCGCTTACAAGGCCAGCTCGCTTACCGAATACGTTAGTTAACTAGTTAACTAGTTAAGCATGTCTGACTGGGAAGGTGTCTACTTAATAGAAACTATCCCGAAGATGGACTAGCTTGGATATCAGGCGATGTCATTTGTTTTTGTCATGTGACCGTACCGAGTTCCGGATGGTGCAAAAGTACTGTACTTTAAGGGATGTAGACAGAGACAAGTACTTTGATAGACATTCAACCTCATTTTCGGCGGTATCCCCGCTTCAGAATATGAGCTGCGTTTACGCTATAACTTGGTTGAAGGTCGATCATCTAGCGCGTAGCCCAGGTTAATGATAGAAGCAATACTTTCTCTTTCTTGTATTCCAGGGCGATTAACTTGAATTAAATTGACCGGTAGAGAGCTGAGTGTAGACAGCATAGTGGCAGGTATGTAAGTGTCAACCGTTGCAACGGCCCGATGCGAAACCCCGCCGTGACAGCATTAGCTAGTTAGTAGTTACACAAGAGAAGAGAAAAGTGAATTCATAGCACTAGTCAATATGGAAATAAGAACCATAAGCTCCTCCATCGTGAAAACAACAGAGAAAAAAGAGAAAAAGGCTGTCCGATATGAAACAAAACATACCTCCGCGATCCAACCAACTCCCGGACCGGAGGCCATATTGTCGTTCTCCACGTCCAACACGTCCCCTCCAGTTTTCACTTCCTCTCCTTTTGTCTTGACACCTGCGCACAATCAACATTCAGACCAGAAAATCGGTTGTTTCTGCGACATTCAATCCGCTGTTTATTCCACTGTTTCTGATCGTGTTCCTGGACTTTGTTCCTGACGTCTGTTTGGGTCGCTCCCGCCATTAGTACCGCTGTGTCTTGATCCTGTCGTGGATTAACTTGCAACACTTGCGATATTCTATGGGATCGAAAAGACAGAAAGAGACAGGAGACTCGAAATAATCGCAGCTGAGACCACTCGTCAATTGAACATGTTCGGTGTCTTTGGTGGCCTGAGTGGGTTCCCGCCTTGACAGCTCCGTTCCCTCCGTTTGTCTAGGATTCCGCTAACTCCTACTCCGTACTAATTACAGGCCTCCCTGTAGGTACCGATCCAGAAAGAGAACGTCCTCCTCCCACCGCCCCGACCCCCATCGACTTCCCCATCTACAACCTCCCCGACCCCACAGAAGAAGACGCGGAATCCGCCCTCAAAGACCTATACAACGACCTAATCACCATAAAGCGACCCCAGGATATCACACCATCGAGGTTCCGGGCGTTCAACCTGAAAGTGGAGTCGGAGGTCCCTGCATCGCGCATTGTTCGACATGACACTACGAGTTCTGTCCGGCCATTGCCTTGGGAGGACAATACGGCTGGAGAGGGAGACCAAAATGGCCAACCGGCACTAATGGGAAATGACAATCGGTATCCGGATAAAGAGCGGTTCGAGACGTTGAGGAATGAGTTGTTGATTGAGAACGACGATGGGTTCCGGGAGGTTAGTCGGATGCCGCCGCGGGAGGGTCGTCAGAGGGTGAGGATCGCACAGACGAGGAAGTTCTGGGCGGGATTTGAGCGGATGGCTCTGTATTGGGATACCAGTTTGGATCATTACTTTGAGCGTCCTGCTACGCCAGAACCGCAGCCGGAGGATAAGGGAGATAAGATGCAGACGGACGATGAGAACACACAAACATCGGAGAGAAATCCGTCGATGGACATTGATCAGCCCGCACAGACGAACGGTAACGGCACCAATGATGATCCAGGATCCCGAACCCCGGTGGAAAGGTACACTGGCCGCCGTGTTGGCGCTGGACACGAAATGCCCGAAGACGCCCGCGAGGAAACCGTTCGAGCCTTTGTCGAAATGACCGCCTGGCCCTTTGGCTGCCAAGTCAGCATTCCCACAATCCCGCCACGACTAGCCGTCAAGACACTACTCTTTCCTGTCCGAATGACCTTCGAGACAGGCCGCTCACCTAAAGACCGAACACAGGCCCGGAGCGGCGTCCTAGAGGGTCCGGTTTTCGTTGGCCAATGCCGTTCCGAGACCGCCTTTCGGACCCCCGAAGAAAACCCCGGCTCCGGGATTGGTGACGCCGGCGATGTATTCCGGGAGGTGGGTGCAATGCTTCTAGCTGCTCAAGAACGCGCGCGCGATGGAGTCACCGATGTCCGTCCTGGCGAGGGCCAATGGTGGACGACGGCACCTCGCTGGGGAGGGGGGACGAGCGAGGGGTCAGAAGGCGAGCACCACACCGAGGAGGATAGTAATAGCAACCACGAGAAGGAGAAACCACATAAACGGTCTAAATACGACCACCCGTTCCTGGCGCTGCGGCGTCCACGGAGGATGTCGAATGCAGATAGATGGAAGGCTGTGCAGCCGGGGCCGAGTCTCTGGGAGAAGCGGATGAAGTATATGCAGATTGGGAAGACCGTGGGTAGTTTATACGATGATGTACGTCCATCAACCCCTGCAAGTGAGGAAGACTACCTAATATCGAACAGATCTACATGGTATCCTCAATCAATCACCACATCTCCATCCTGCACTTACGCGTCCACCGTCGCTATCTCGAAATCGTAACAACAGGAGAAAGCGACTGCACAACTGATTCGGATGAAGATCAACCGTGGTATGAGTTGAAACTGCGGCGGACGAGATGGTATGACTTCTTCGAGGCGAAGGATCGGGTCGAGGCGTTCGAGGGCGTATGGCGAATTTTCCATTATACCTTGCGGAAGGTGTAATTACGTGCATTTATGCTTGAGTGATTCATATCTATTCTATTCTATTCATACCCGGAATGAAGTTGGGTGAGATTTTTGCATGATTGATGGATATCTGATACTCGTACATAAATCTTCAGTTGATCTATCAGCTTCTCGCTGTAAGCAAATCATTCCACTCCATGATTTAGCCGGGTCATATGGCGTTCTCTGCCCCCTCCAAGGTTTTCGACGTGCTGCTCCATGAATCTTCTGTACGCTTCGTTGCGGTCCTGCTTTCTCCATATCCAAAGAACCAACATACCAATTCGCGTCTCTCGTCCTGTAGCGTGCTAATCAAGCAATATAACCTTGCCCACTCACTCACCAAGATAAAAAAAAAAAAAAAAAAAAAAAAAAAAAAAAAAAAAACAGGCTAGCTTCGCCCAAGGTCCGGAATAACAAGCCTTGTTGACGATAGCAATCGAGGAAATATCATCATTCTTTAAAGGCCTAAGCCGGGGAAACATGGGACAATCAGTTTTGGCGTTTAAAATATGCCGCTGTGTCCATAATGATGAATACCCAACAGCCAGAATGCGTGTCCCGATTTAATCGCGGGAATAGTTTGCTCGTTATGGTTAATGGCACCCAATGCAGCCGCGGTCCCAAGAATTGGAATGATGGGAGCATCTTTGGGAAGCTTGAATAAAAACATGGCCGCTTCCCGCAGAAGACAGGCATGTTTTTGCCGATTGGAATTGGATCACGCAAAAGATAGCTCTTTGCCTAGAATGCCGTTCGATTCAATCTCCATGGTTGAGATTATTTTATTATTATTATTATTAATTCATTCTCGCGTCTGTCAGCCGAAAGGCCGATTGGCGGCAGGTCCCTATAGAGTAGCCGGGAAAGCTACGGTTTAAATATAAACAGCCCCGTACATCCTTATGCAGCTCTAGTTCTCCGGGTCCATGAGGGCCCCGAGATCTCCTGATCTCCCTCGCATCCATCCCTATACGCAAACGCCCGCGCGTTCCATCTAAGCATCGTGGGTTGTACTAACCCGGTATGAGGCCGGCAGGGCTCCAAATTGACCGAGGAGCCGTGTCTCCAGCATGAATTGAATTGCTTTAGGGATCAACTCCAGGTCTGTCAGATAAGCCCGGTGGTCTAGCTGTAGTAGTGGTCCCCGACGAAGCACCCTAGACCTGACTTGGGAGTGCCGGGGGCAATCAAGTAAGATATGGCGTATGTCCTGGCGGCCAAGGCCACAGAGGCACTCTGTAGATTCCATCGCGCCGAATCGGCCAAGATAACCGGCCAGGGCGATCTTTCCAGTTTGCATCTGGACCAGCACTGAACTGGCGGCCTGGCGTAGCCCGTAATGGAGCCCTAATAGCCGTCTGGACGGCTCTGGGAAGATGCGCCGGGTCGTAGCCCCATGGGTCCCTCCTTTCCACTCATCCTTCTATCTGCCGGCCGCCTCCGTGCGGAGAACCAGGCGTCGACTAGCCCGGAGAATTGGCTCTGTAGCCGGGCAGTTGCTGTTTGCGTCATCCATGGTTGAGATGAGACTTGATTTGAGGTGGCTGGGTAAGAATCGAGTAGGCACTCAGCGCAGTGGCGTGCATCAAACACAGCACAACACAACACCCCGTGCCGTGGGCGACAAAAATTATGATAATGTGTTCAGATCAGTCTGTGACAACTGATCCTTCCAATCGACGTCGTCTGGATTTGACTTCGTAATATTTCGAGTTCCATAGTGTAAGGAACGAATGTGTCATGCCTGTGGCTTATAACTGGCACAGAAGACCAAAATTCTCACCCTAGGTTCTTGATAGTTGGGGAACGCATAGGGGAGAGAGATACGTTGCTCTCCTATTATATGCGGTGTCCTTTCAAGATGTTTTGTGACTGATTCTCAGTCTGAGCAAGCAGCATTCGATAACATGCACATGTCATAGTTCTTTCTCTCACTCGATCATTCAGCCTATTCTGGCAGCTCAAAGCATTACAGCGGCCTCCCATTGAGTGCATGCAGTGTATAGCCAGTTGCTGCAAATTATGCACTGGGATTTTGGACTTACTGGGGGCAAACAGTACTCTCCTTTCTTTCCACTATTAACCAGATTGTCATTCCTACTGTGGTCCTCCGGGCGTAAGGCGGGCCTCCACTTGAGTCAATAATGACTTGAATGGATCCTTCCATGATCCAAGTGGTCTTATGGTTCTCACTATCGCCGAGAATTTAGTCGGCCGCATGTGTTGAAATTTCAGTACTTCAGGTTTTGGAATTAAGAACTCCAAGCAAGACGCGTTCAAACGCTTCATGGCGTGCTGATTGGGCTTGGAGGGGTCGTTTTTGCTGCTTGAGTGGTCCAGTTATACCAGGGAAAATGTCTTTGGAGTGATTCCCAGGCCGAACCTGCAAGAGTAAATACACCCTTATCGCCGGACTCGCAATTGCGTCGACTGGCTCATAGCTCGTAATTGACAACATTCCTCTCTTTCTTGTGTTTCTCTTTAAACTCCGGTCCATGGTGAACAAACCGTCGAAGTTTAAACCTTGAATGAGCTCTTGAGCCTGGCGTCCATTCATGTTCATCTCCAAATTGAGGTGGTTCATGAGAGGTCCAGTTTAGTTTCGATTTCTACTCCATCGGGCGGACTGTATCAGGCCGTCAATATCTGCAACATTCTGGTTGAGGCACATGTATAAGGACTCGAACCTTAGGTTTTTAAATCTCGCCCAGGGTAGTTTTTAAGCCATCTATTATGTAGGTCGCTGGTTTATCAATGATGGAAAATCGTGGACTCAATGAAAAGGAGCAGCCCAAGTATCATGGCGTTTTTGGTGACGTTTAAAGATCAGATGGCAGTGGTTGCGCCATGGGCTGAGCTGCTTACTTGGCCCTTTTATGTTTCTGAGAGTGATGCTAAGCATGATCTTTGTTATTGACGGCGTGGCACTTGGGGATGATGGACATCCAGTCAACGTAGATCCTTGGTCTTCGCATCACTGGGTTAGCAAACTCGTTGATGCGTGTGGCGTTAACGATTATTATACTTAGGATGAACAGGGCATTTCCCCATGGTTATAGTGCATTTCCTCCTCTAGGGCATAGTTTACCCATAATAATCCATGTCGCTAACTGTTTTGGAAGCAGCCCACTCGCTGTGACAGGAATATCCGTGATATTGGTAGGGTGACTTGGCCAGTCTCGCTAACCAGTATCTTGCATTGTCATTCTCTCTCCAAGAATGTGTCTTGGCTTTTCTCTGATTAATGAGACTAGCAGAATGACTTTGGAAGTTGTTACTTTGCCCGTGAAGCCATTGTTCCATGTTCAACCGGACTTATCCACAGCCATTCTTTATCCTGAACATGCTCAAGTCACTCTGAGCTACAAAGTGTATCAGTACCTTTTGCGAAAGAGCTGCTAGGCAAGGTCCTGGGCACTTCTAAGGTGCTCCCAAGCTGACTTGAGCTCCGTGTTGCTATAGACCGAACACTTCTTTGCCTTTTGCCAGTCCATATATGCAAGCATAGAATAAATCGATAACAGGAGAGGGGTACTTATCCAGATACCAGTCCTGAGTTCCCAATTTTGTCCATCACGTGCATCAATAGGGTTGTATAACCCATCGGAATCTCGAGGCGACAAAGTATCCTTTACAGGAATCTGTCGAAGCATGCAACTAGATCTTTGTTGGATAAATTAGGAAATCTCTCCTTTGGCCGCGCTAATGAAAACACTGGCGTGAAGAATGCCATTTCGGTAATGTTTATGGTGGACGATAGTCCATATGAACTATTTCACGCCTTTATTTTGTCGAGAGGATCATTCGTGGAGTGAATAATGTCCGTAGGGCTCCGATCCTACCTGGCTTGAAGATGCCAATAGGACCTCGTGAGTATGCAACGGGGTTGCCACAATCAGACAGAATATTTCCTTGATGATGTTGATGTCCAAAATGTCCCAAGGCCCATAACTGTTTATGCAGAGAAGGGTCTCTAAATTTTTATGGGTCCAAGGGATTTCGGTAAGAGGTCTCTTGGCCAGAATAGAGTGTATAGACACCAAAAGTTCTCGTCACATTCCACGAAGGAAGAGCAAGGCCACCATGCCTGTGTGGTCATTGCTGTGTGCTTTAGGTTATGTATTGGATAGACTATCTATGCCAGGCTTTTCTGTGACTCGAAATTCTGCAGTCCGGGTTGCTAGCATTGAAATAAACACTTGCGCAGTAACAGTCCGCGGAAGTCCGTTTCCTTCTGGTTGGCGTATGCAAGACACAATGTTTCCCAGAATGACTCGTCGGGCATCCCCTGTATAGGCGCTAATTGCAATGAGAACAACTCAGTCCAAAGGTGTGCCAGGTGCCCTTCTGTGGGTGCTGTAGATCAACGAATCCAGCTGAATGTCGAGGGCGAGTGTTTGATTCCCGGTATACCCATAGATTCTCCCAATTGGGCATGACCTTGCACTATGTTGCGAGACAGATGGACCGGGCTGTGGCCAGGTAACGCTGTGTCAGCACGGTATTTGTAGTGCTATTGCTATGGGCGAACCACCAGCGTGCGTCAACGCGTAGAATATTGAGGGGGTTTGATACGCCTGTCGATTATGAGGGACATAAATTCAACCGAATCATTAAATCTGAGGACGGCGTTAGCATAGAACCAGAAAATCCCGCACCTCTATACCTTCATAGAACATGAGCTTTTTGCCTCAATGACGGGAGGGAAACCCACGACGAAACATCCATTATGGTAGAGATTTGGACTGCCTCTGGCTTTGTGTTCATGGTCTGCAATGTTCACAAGGGTGGGAATTTCTTCTATGATGATCAAGACTTTGTAGACCTAGAGTATGTTAGCAGTATGTTTTCTATGGGTATAACTTCTGGGCTCAGGAATGTTTTTGGTGAGCCAGTATCCACAACAGGGATCACCCGACGTGCTTCAAAGATTTTGTCCCTGTACATAGGACATGCTAGAACAAGGCAGCTAGCTCATACGGAGGATGTCAAGCAATTTGAACACCCTTGAATTCACCTTACTCGCAACCGCACGGCAGCCGCTCTGGGCTGACTCAATCTTCCAGATGCGAGAACTTCCTGAAACATCTCAAACCGATCGTCATCTATCGACAGTGACGCCTCACTAATGTTATCTTTGGTTCAGACATTTTCGCTGGCCGATTGGTGTGAGAAACATTTCGATGATCCCTAGCTCATGGTCTTCGCAGTACATGAAACTGCGTAGTACCACAAGCCCATTTTTGTTGTCGACGACTTGAAGCCCAGAGTTTCTAGGAGTCCGTTCATAAGACAAATAGGTCATGCCGTCGCATGATCTTAAAAAATCAAGGACTTTCTTGTTCCCCCGGCCTTGAATCAGTACATTTCAAGGTAATCAATTCGACCAGCTAATAGGTCAGTCTGGTAGAGTTATTGAATGCTTGGTGGAGAACATGGATAGTCTACCGATTCATTGAGTTCAGGATCCTTCTAGAATCCATCAGCCTGAACTAACCTTATCTATGAAGTTTGATACCAATTCAATTGTCCGAAGACCCAAATCGTGGAGTCGAAATTCGATGAAGGGAACTGTGTTCCTTGCTCGATCTGCCCAGACGTTAGCTCGAACGAAAGATAAGTGATATAGCGCTCGTGCATGAAGCGGCATGTTATACATATCGTTAAAACTCTCTACCCTGGCGTTGTGACAATCAACATAGGGACAGGGCAGAACGGCCAACAAGCACATGCTCTAAGCCAGACTTGGACAAGTCCCCGGAAACAAACCCCCAAACGCTGTGGGGGTAATCGATGGATACATTTTATATCAACCTCGAATTCATTTGCCATGAATCTCTTCAATTGTCTCTGGGGAGAGACCGGCAAGATCCGGAATGAGCGAGCAGAATAATCTGTCAAATTCCTGTTTCTTGTACCTGCTCGTTATCAATCCTGTTGCTAGATATAAAGATGTCCTCTCAGATAGTGGAGTATGAGGATCTGTGGAGATAAATTCCTTAGAATGAATTGAAATTGGGAGTAGTGTTTGGAGATGTGTGAAGCGGTTTAACCGTTATGGAAAGATATGAGTCTGTTGTCATTTTGACAGTGGTGGATGTGCCTTTGAGTTGAGGACTTACTGTGTTTTAAGTGGAATATACACTATGGGTGGCAGTAGCCAGAATTAAAAAGAACCAAGTGAATTATCTAGAGTCATGCTATAATTTATTGTATGGAAAACCGTCACTTCACTGCTGTACTCGCACAGTTACTGAATAAATGGAGCACGTACAAAGCAACGAGCCCCAAGGCACCAAACCCAGAAGCCAGGAGCTATAACAGTAACCTGCATTCATACACTCCTACCAGAAATCACTAAAACATCCAATCAGCTTCTCGTCCGGTATAGTAACATCCTTTGTATCTTCAGAACTCGGACACATCAACGCCCGAAGCGAAGGGACCAACGGTCCACTCTCAACACTATCCGCCGTGACAGTAATACTCTGCGTTGACTGTACCCTAATCGCGGGCCTAGTCCTATGCCGCCCAGGCCTCTCTACCAGTGCCCTCTGCCATCTCTGGATCAATACGCTTTTTGGTAGTGTTATTTTGAGAGAGATGGCTAGTACGACGTTGGTCCCGCTGAGGCCTGAGAGCCACCATCTTCCATCGCCGTGCAGATGGGTGAGAGACTCTGATAGTGCCGTTTCTATTACAGGAGATGACCATGGCATGGTCTGGCCGTATTGGAGAGGGCGGTCTGCGGGAGCGAGGTATGCGCCTGGTTGCTTCGTGTTGTTTTCCAGAAGGATTTTTTGTGTCCTTGGCGCTCCTTCAATTATTTCCTCGTCTTTCACACCCATACGCTTAGCGTGATCGCAGATGACATCTCTCACGCGCAGAGTGATTTCGTCGTGGATAAGTGGTAGAACCTTGATAACCCCTACTTTAAAATCATGGTAATACGTGAACCGGAACGGCACGCCAAAGATCTCGCTATTATCGGTGATCTTTTGTGCTGTGGTTTCAGGAATCTTGTGGATGGTTATGTATTGGATGGTAGATGGGTTGTTGGGGTCCTCGAGAGCTGTGTAGGTGGAGTTGACGGTTTTGTGTACCGCTCTGACGGATGTAAAGCGGGTTTCGGTTATGTTTGGGTAGTATATGCGGATAGGTATAAGCGTGACATTTGGCTGGTGATTATGATGTTGTTTGTGGTGATTTTACTGTCATACTGATGATGTGTGACGATGCTGGCACGTCTACATGCTCATGTGACTTTCTTCAAGTAGACTTAATTCACATACGGATACAGAGTACAGAGGTGTGCGAGATAAGTCTCGCTCGGCGCTAGTAATTTTTTAGGCGCTTGGCTGTAATATACGGTCAAGGTAGATCCCATGGTAATTTATATGATAGATCACTCTACCTGGCTGTCCACTGAAGCCGCCGAGGAAGCCATCTATGTACTCTGGGCAGGTGGTAGGAAGATAGAGAGCAAGTGGCATCAATAATGGCCTATATGGTTTAAAAAAAGCAATAAGATAGGCCATATGCAGTGTTGAGGGGGTTGCAGATGATGGTAGCTACGTGTAATGGCGTGTACAGTGCTGACTAGTCTATTCCTAAAAGGGAATAGCGCCGAGCGAGACTTATCTCGCACACCTCTGTACTCTGTCCAGTACAAGGATGCCGCTGGTAGAGGTACCGAAATAGAACAGTACTCTACTCCATACAGCATCACACAACGATCAATAAATGCATCCTCGCAAGAACTCCAACAAATACTCGAGGCCCGAGCACCCCCAAGAATAATCCCGACCCAGTCAATTCCCCCAGAGCACTCTCAGTACGAAGTATATGCATGCATCTGTATGTGATGCTATGTGTACTTACAAGTAGAGTCTACGTCAGCACGCACAGATCGCTCAACGTCAATATGGTTGTCGGTTGACAGGTATATTGATTGTTGTCTGGAGGTGCTCTCGGATAGCAAATTGGCTGATCATAAACAGTTATTACTCGAAGAGGAATACCGAATTAACTAACATGGGGTATGTGATAAGCAAGAAAATCCATCGCTAAAAGTACCGAATCCTACAAACCGAATCCTCGTACTTTTACAAGGGCATCCCCGGCATTCAACACGACTCCTGCATCCTGGCATCTCTCAGCACTTTATGTGTTCCTACAGGGTAATAATTATCATCCTTTGTTCTACCCCGTATAGCATATAGCTATGCCAGTAAGCGAGAGAGCGGAGATGACCGGCGCAATCGGGGGGCTGGCGGGTTCCAGACCGGTGGAATGTGATATATCGTGATGATGTTGCTTATCCTGTCAAAATACGGTACGGTAGGGTTTGCCAGCCAATTAAACAGTCCTATTAGGATTGATGGCTGTACTTTGACAGGCCGGTATGCTGTACAGGAAATTAGTCCGATCGGGACAGATTGGGTTCAGATATATCCTAGGTAGTCGGTGTAGACTCCATCCAGGGTATCTAAACACTACAGTGGTATCTACATAAAAGTACGACTACAAGTACAGAGGGCAATTGATGTTACACGTGACTGAACAACATCACCTCCTCCGACTGACTCCATCATAACGAATCCTCCGACCCCAGATCAACTGGAGAACGCACCGCTCCCTTGCTTCTCATGTCTGTGCACCGAACTGCAAGAGATCCTGCCTTGCAGATAACGTTGACAAATTGTGACGGTGAATCTACGAGTGCTCTATGAGATCCTGGCAGTGTCACTACTATGTATTCCGTACAGTTTAAAAAGCATGCCAGAACTGTGGCAAATGATCCATCATGGCATTCCGAATTGAATAGGGGGCTATTGATTCCAATCCACAGAGTATTACTATTCCTGTACGGAGCGGAACACCGGACTAATGGCAACTGCCGAATCATACCCGAATCCGATATATCGCCAACAAGACCCAGAAACACCAGACCCTCAAAACAAGAAACAAGACAAAAAAAAAAAAAAAAAAAAAAAAAAAAAAACCAACCCAACGTTTCGGTGCGATGGATGCGACGGGGGGCCCGTAACTTACCAAACCAGGAGATCCGTGGAAATCCTTGACGGGTTCCTGACCAGAACCGTGGATATGATAACCCCTTGCTGTTGGACCTGTATAACCTGGTTTTCAGCGAGTTCCCGTATACGGCGTATACACACAAAGTTGTGACGGGTATCTGCTTCGGGCATGATTTCTGCATGGCATGGGACCCCTTGGGCTGGAATGTTTCATGATCGTGATGATGACAGAGAGAGTACTCTGTACTAGTAATAGTAGAATGAAGTCTCCGGCCATATGGCTGCTAGTTTCGCTCTATTGTGTCTATTGGAGTCGGAGCATGCTACTATACGACAGAAAGCTCAGCCGCTCCATAAATTTTGTCTTTTCGACTCCACCGATAGCCATCTATCAAAAAAAGTAGAAGAAAAAAAGATCTGTCAATTTAAGGCCGGTGTTTGCTGGAAAGAAAAGAAAAAGATAGAAGTCTGGCAGAATCCTGAAAGAAGTGGCAGATCACTGTGCAATATCAGTGATAGTGATTGAGTTGTGATCTTTCTTCCCCTCTTCTTCTTCTTCTTCTTCTTCTTCTCTTCTCATCTGTTTCTTCTCATCTTTTCTTCTTTTCCCTCTCCTAATCGTACTAAATCCATTCGACCGGTTGAATTACTTCTGATCGACCCGATAATCAACCACCGTCTCCTCTTCTCCCTAACTAACCACTCCCGCTCTCCCTCTCTTTTTTCTCTTGCTTCATTTCCCATTTTTTCCACTGTTTGATTTTTGCTTTTCTGTGGCCATCTCAAGAGGGACAGACTGATTTGCTACTGAGAGAGTTTACTTTTCGGCCTCACCGATTGTCCTTTACTTTCCCCATCTGTTCATGGGGATTGTCCAGCTGAAGCTACCTGACTAGCTAGTACGTTCTTTGCCTCTTTCTTTCTCTTTCTTCCTCTCTTTTCCGCCCTGATCGGATCGTGCGACCGCCATATCCGCTTCCCACTTCTGGGAAAAATTGAACGATCCCAACACTGATTCTTGGTGATACTTATTGTTTTTCTTTATTATAGATTTTTATTTTTTTTATTATTATTATTATTATTATTTTTTATTATTTTTATTTTTTATTTTTGACTCTCTAATCTCCTCACGAAACCCCTCTCGCGCCTCGCGCGTTTCTTATTTCGAGCACGGATTCTCTCAAAAACCCGCTCACAGCTACCCACCACTACCTCCCCCCCAACTAAACAACATCATGTCCTGTTAACTGTCCGCTTAAAAAAAAAAAAAAAAAAAAAAAAAAACACACAAAACAAATATGGACATTATGGCCACGGAAGACAAGAAACAACCACTCTCTTATTCCGCCGCTCCTCCCCCGCCGTCCATGCATCGCATGCCTCATCCCATGGAGGCGTCGCATGCCCCGCCACCTCCTCCCTCTGCTGCTGCTGCCGCCGCGGCTCATGCCATCTATGAACCATGGCGCACTGCTGCTGCTCCTCCTACCTATCCTCCTCCTTCCTTTGATGACCGTCGTGCTTCAAACCCTCCCCAGCCTCCTCTTCCGCCGCCTCACGCGTATCCTGTTATACCCAACCGTGAATTGCCGCAATTACCGCCCGACGGCCCATATGGGCGGCCCAACAGTCTCCCTGGTCCGGTCACCACGCCTCCCGATGCTCATGGGCCACCACCACCCCCAAACTATCGCATGAACGGTGCTCCTCCCCACGAGCCTCCGCCGCACTCCGCTCCACCTGATTATCGCGCTCGTTTGCCATATCCTCCACCAGAGCAACCCAGCAATGGCGAACCCGTGACAGCGCATTCGATCCCTCCCGCGCAATATCCAACCCCAGTCCCGGCACCGATTCCACAAACCCCGACACCGTTTGATCCTTCTTACTACCAAAGTCAAAATTATGGGATGCGTCAACGGAAGGCTGCGCGTGCGCAACAGGTACGGAGCTTCCAATCTTATACTGGACACGTCTTTACTGACCCATGACAGGCCTGTGACCAATGTCGAGCGAGGAAAGCTAAATGCGATGAGGGTCGACCATCATGTAGTCATTGCAAAGAAAACAACCTCCCTTGTGTTTACAAGGAGGTTCCACCACACAAGTACGTGTTAATCAACATTTTGAGCCTGCAACCATACTAACCTAGAGAAGACAAGAGAAAGCGACCCAGCTCCTTTTGGATCGGATGCAGCAGTTGGAAGATCGATTGGAAGAACGCATGACCCAGCTACAGTCTATTCAGGTCGAACAAGGTTCCCAACTGAGTCGAATTCTCGCAACAGAGGCCAAGACGAAGGAGGCTCGCGTGGTATCTACCAAAGACCCCGCTCGGCCTACGTCGCAAAAGCAAGCCGCCGAACCGATACCGAAACCCGATATGCCGGATGTTCTGCGCGAGCAGGAGAGTAAGGAGGAAAGTACCTCGTTCGTCGTGGGCCAGAAAATCGATGCCGCTGAAAATGTCGAGGATGGTCTCAAGGATGACGACGACGGGGAGCTGTCTATCCCCGTCGAGCACACCACCGCCGCGCATAAGCTTCTCATGTGGCCCTCCATCAAGAGTCTTCTATTTCCCAGAGAGTACGATGAGGATTATGTCATGAAACTCGAGGAGGGCCGCGGTCTGATCCGGGTTTATGGCCGTGGTGAAGGCGATGACACGAGTGAGGAATCTGTTCTGCCAAACCTTTCGTATATGGCATCCAGTTCCATCCCCAACTGGGACGAGCCGCCTCATTCCAACAATGGCTCCCCCGGCGGTGGCTGGGCCGCGAGCGGAGCCGCTGCGGCTGCTGCCGCACCATCATCGTCATCTTCCCCTTTGAAGCCACTTGAGCATGGGATTGAAGAGTCCGGTGTTTTTGCCACCGATGCGGGCACCGTCCGTCGTTTATACCTGAGCTACATGAACAATCTGCACAAGTTGCATCCGTTCCTCGACCAGAGCGATCTTAAGAAGAAGCTCGAGTGGTTTATCCGGGTCTATTGCCCGGTGGGACCGTCGAATCCGGGCATTCCCGCAGAGTATCCTCGGGGAGCCAAGCGTAAGCGCTCCTGTGATACGTTACACAGTGCTGCATGCGACGTGCCGTCTCCCGCCACTGTCAAGGCGGATCGGGCCTCCCCGTGGCGCATTGAGCAATCAATTGACAATGCCGTCATCCTCCTGGTGATTGCCTTGGGTAGTATCTGTGAATGGAAGGAACTCCCCGTCCCGGGGTCGGTCACTGACAACCCCCCGGATTTTCGCAAGGAGCAAATCCCTGGCCCGTCGCTGAACCGAAGCCTCCTTTCTCCAGCTGCGTCAGATTCGGCCCTTCCGATTTCCAACAGCTTCTACGCGTCGACGAGTAGCCAGCCTTTTAATTCTCCGTCGCTTGTTGACGGTCGACGAAGTATCGCCGGTCAGTCGTCCAACCGGGAGGGTCCAGACAACCGACATCTGAGAAACATGGATGTCATCCCCGGGCTGGCCTACTATGGATATGCCACCCAGATTCTGGGTGCTTTGCAGGGGGCCAATGGATTGCCCCATGTGCAAGCCGCGTTGCTTGCCGGTCTTTACGCCGGTCAATTAGCCCATCCATTCCAAAGTCATGGATGGATTTACCAGGCTGCTCGGGCCTGTCAGGTGCTGGTTCGATCGAAGCGATATGAGCAGATGAGCGATGGCCCTCTCAAAGATCTGGTCGACTTTGCGTACTGGACTTGTCTGCAGCTGGAGAGTGACATCTTGGCTGAGCTTGACCTCCCGGCTAGCGGGATTTCCCGTCTCGAAGGACGAATTTCCTTGCCTAAGGGTCGCTTCACCCTTTCGCTTCCCAATGAGATTTGTGCGCCCAGTACGATGATGATGTTCTTTTATTCGGCCCAGATCCATCTGCGGAAGGTATTGAACAGGGTCCACACGGACCTGTACAAGGTTGAGAGTAAGTCGAGCAATGCCCGCGTACCTATGCGTTTACTAACAATGCCTAGAGCAAGGCCAGACCCGTTGGTCGTCGAATGTGCAGGAAATTCTGAGCATGAACCTGCAATTATGGCGGAGTAGTCTTCCCGAAGTGATGCGATGGAGGGACGGCGACCCGCCATCGAAGGAGATCAACGTCGCCCGGATGCGTGCCAAGTATTATGGTGCCCGTTATATTATTCATCGACCACTGCTTTACCACGCCCTCCACTTTGCTGGACGGGCAACATCGGTTGACTCTCCAGGGGCCGCTCCGGCCATGTCCGGCTCGCGGTCTCAACAAGTGTCCCCTTCGATGGCTTCCGGTCAGCGCTCCACTAATATGGGTCGACTTCCGAGTGACATGGGTACGGCGCCAGCTCAACGCGCCCCCGGAAGTACCCCTGGATGGGGATATACCTCGGGATACACCTACCGGGATCTTCCTACCAAGCTCCGACGAGCCTGCAAGGTCTGCATCGACTCTGCCATTTTGAGTACTGAAGCGTTTGATGGTATTGAAGGCCGTCCTGTGGTGACCAATATCTTCGGAACGGCTCATGCGTATGTCTAAACTGTCCTTGCGAGAATTATGAATCTGAAGCTAACTGGTTATAGGCAATTTGGTAACATGCTGGTGCTCTCTGCCACATACATGTCCAACCTCTCCGAACTGGTAGACCGAAACATCCTCGAGCGACTCCTCCGGCGTACGATCCGCTTCCTGCTGCAGAGCCGGTATATCTCTCCCAGCTTGCGAGCTGATGCCAAGATCCTGACCGAGATCTATGAGAAGATCTTTTCCGAGTCGCCCGGAAGCTTCACGAATTAAATGGCTTCAACAGCAGCCGATGTTACGTCTATTCTCTCTTTTCTTTTTCTTTCTTTTTTCTTTTCTTTTTTTTTTTTGAGATTTATCGATTTTACCTGGTCTTCTCTCATGGCCATTTCTTTCCTCTTTTCTCCTTTTCTGCCCGGTTTCGACCTATTGACATGAGATTATATGCATATACATACTTACAACTTTGCATGGTGGCGATCTGAATCTTATGCGAGAACCAATTAGTCCTTTTCGTTCTGCATCCGATATCCGAACTAACATGTATCATTTATTTGTCTTGTTGTTTTCATCTGATAAATTTGACCAAACCCACCAGCAGTGGTGGTTCTTTTGAAATTGTTATGCCTATTTGCACCTATCCCTTTGTTTTGTCCTTTTTTTTTTTTTTTTTTTTTTTTTTTCCCCCTAATGTTACGTGTTTACCCAGGAGTTTATTTGGGCGTCCGGCACCTGCATTTACGTTTTTTGATTTGATTGGGACCGGGAGGAATGGATCGTTTGCATTTCTAGCGGATTGGATCCGGATGAATGATATCAGTGTCAGTATTAGTACGGGTTTCCGTGTACAGTCATTGGTGAATAGGTTGCATTATTATGATCACTCGTGTTGTTTCTTCTTTTAGTAATGATGGTACTTCGTACCTATGCTCACGGTACTTTCTACGACCAACACACTTACCCAAGCTCCACCTCGGCCCCTACATGTGAATACATCCCGGTAAGGCGTAGGACACGGGCACCCGGCAATTAATAAAAAAGGGTACGGAGTACATGTACACCGTTCCGAGGAGCAAACGTCGGGACACCCTAGTCTACCCATTAAACGTTAAGCTGTCAATCCATTTCCTCTAGTTCAGTGATCTACCAGTATCTAACCCCCGGTACGCAGGGTCCACTAACGGTACTTCCTGACAGGCAACAGTACGGGGCCCGTACTCTGTAGATCTTCGGGTATAAAGGATGAAGGACAAAGTACGAGGAATGGAAGTGGTCTAGACCGTTGGAGTAATGGTAGTGGGTTGGGCTGCGCATAGGCTACGCTACTCGGTGCTTGGTACTATTTGTAGTACTGTACGGTACTCGGGTTAGTCGGGTGTTCTGCCGAGGTTGACTTCACTGGATGAGGATTAGCATTGTTTCTTCGGACGAATGGATGGGAGTAAGTGGCCCTCGATACTCCGTATAGAATAGGAATATGAAAGGGAATAGGGAAAGCTATTGGATTGGAAGTGCAGTAGGAATAGTGGTCTAAGAGAGGATTCTCGTCCGTGACGTCGAGCTTTGAAGACATAGTTCTTCCAGAATAATGGGCCATCTTCTCCTGGAAGTGTTTCTTTTTCTATGTTCTCCTTCATTCTCTATCTCCTGTTTTCTTTGATATTATCTATTGTTTTGTGACTGTTTTGAGCTTAGCTTCATTCAACATTCCAGTCCTATCATAACTTTCCTATGTAAAAAGTATACTTCTACATACACAACACATAGTCCCAATCCCTTTCACAGAGAAAACATGATTAAACTAGCACATGCAGACAACAAACCTCAGCCTAGAAATGAGAGTATTTATGATCCAGATAGTGGCTTTTTTGTCTTGATCAATCACTGGTACTCTTTATTAGGCACAGAATCACTCTAATATTCAACTTTTTGATACCCAACTTTTTGGGTAGTAGAATGGATAGTATCACAGCACAATCTCTTTCAATGACAAAGAGCATGTCATGTCAACATGATTCTCACATAGCTTAAGAAGGGATATCAGATACCAAGCGTTGAATTACTAATGCACTGAGTTATCTCAAATGAGACTTGAAAACGCGGCACCATGGGCGAGCTTACGGTTTGATAAACGTCGAGATGTCATTGTGGTGGAGTATTGGCTGAGGTTTCAAGAACTGAACCAGACAGTCTTGAGCTGCTACAGAAAACGACCCCGGGAGCAGTGATGCAGAGCTGGCTGATGTTGACCAAGCTCGTGCTGGACTAGGAATCCTGGCACATTGAGAGTTTGTTGGGGTGTCAAGTTAGTAGGAACAATGAGGTGTTGGAGGAGTAACAGCGATAATAACATCTACAATTTAGGAAGATTCCCTGGGTAAAACACTGTACTGATAGAACTACGGACCCCGGAAAAACAATTTATAAAGACGGCTTATGTTTCCTAACATCTCTTTTTGTCTTTCAACTGGAATCGTAGTAATACCGCACAGCTCAATTTGGATTCAAAAGCAGTTTCTATTAGGTTCATGCGCCTTCTTTTCCTTATTAGTTACAGGCACTTGTGCATGTTGTACCATGTGAACTAATGGAGCAGATCTGACATACACAATATCGCAACAATTGAAAGCCAGTATGGACTGGAACTCAAAGGATGCTACAGCTGCAGAGCACAATCTCCTTCATGGACAGTCTCTTCTTGATTATTCAATCGAGGTCTTAAGAATCACAGATGGTAATAGCTAACTGTTGATGGGAAATTGATGGGAAATGTAGGGTTCAAAAGGGCATATAGTAGTATCAAGCAGGAGAGCTATGTTTTAGATGTTGATAATAGAAATTTCTGCCACATAGAGTCTATATCATGTCCAGCATCAACCGCGGAATTTCTTTGGATATGTTCTTTCTCGCCTCCGGCATCCCATGAGGGGACGGTGTTTGCTTGCCTTCCTTCGGCCAAGATTTGGATTTTGGCGCTTCCAATAGCCATCTTCCAGTGCCTTCTTCTCCCCGGCTGGAGGAGTCCCCACCATCAGTCATGGAAATGAGATTAAAACTTTCGCGACGTTCCATATCCTCGATGCGCTTGACTAATTTTCTGAGATCCTCCTCTATGGACGGAACCGGTATCAACCTAAAACTTTGTAAGTATAGGTATTGAGAAAAACTAGCATATAAACATACCTTGCTTGCTCAATTGGCATGTGGAAAAATAGCTGTCTAGCATATGCAGCCGCAGCCGCAGCTGCGTATCCCTGCCATTCGTCATTTTTGTGCGAATCACAGTAGTTTGAAATCCCCCGAATCACTAAACAAGGGAAAGCGGCCAGGGCTCCTGCGGCCTCCGTCTCAAAGCATAGTACACCGTGTTCTGCAGCCAACTGGTCTCTCTTCTTTCCACCTCGATGACAGGCTCGCCAGAAGCAATTGTTCCTCTATGGACCACAATACGGGATTCACCATCCTCCTCCATCTCGCTGTCAGAGTCGCTTGAGTCGGAATCGATTTGACGATTAGGGTTACATCCACATTTGCGGCAAGAAACCCCGTCCTTTTGAGATGTATATAATCAGAACGGTACAGGATGTCCCGTGCCATCCCTGGAAACCTGAATCGAGACAAGCTTGGTATACTAGTATCAATCCGCTCGATATTCTGTACAATCGGATCTCGGCGAGATCGAGTCCGTGTGGCCGCCAGGTCTTGTGCTGCCTGAAGAAGAGCGGCCGGAGGAGGTGCAAGTGCCCCCGTACGTTCAAACGACCCAGTACGAGCCTTCCCATGATCGAATTAAATTACACCAGGATTTATACCGGTCGGTTTGCTGACTACCACGTCACCAAGGCGAATCTTCCCGTAATCAGTCTTCACCGGTACCCCGCCTGCGGTTCCAACAAAAAGACCGAAACGGATGTTAGGGAAGGTCATTCACATTCGGGCAACGGCCACAGCTGCAGGATTGGTTCCCGGTACCCATAGCCCTGCAATCACAACGTTTTTACCAGCAATGCTGCCGAGGTGGTACCCGTTTTTATCACCACGCTGTTGAGGAAGAACTTCGTGCTCTTCGTCCAGCATCTCCAACGCTGCAGGTATTTCCACCTCCAAGGGACAGATCCACCCGACTGTGTAGTCCTCGTGTGCCAACTTCCTCCGAGAAGTCGACAACCCGTCTGTTGAAGAGTCAGATGTGGTTGTGCGTTTTCTGGTATTATCAGGCATTGGGGCGAGGCTTGTTGATTTCCCAGACGTAGATAGGGGAACTGAGAGAATCTGATACTATGTTTAGCTCTTCAGGAACAGTGCAATTGGGATTGAAAAAGATCCTTTGTGGCTTCCTCCAGATGGCAGGTCGAAGTTCTTCCAGAGAGACCCCGCGGGGCTAAAATGAGCAGAAACTCAGCTGCAACTTGTGTGCATGTGGATCACAGCAGAAGTATTATCATCTCACCCAATTATACCGGCTCGTTCGAGTCCAGTAGATAAGTGTGAACCTGTCATTGCGTCTGCCGGTCAAACCTGAGGCTGGTGCAGATTACATGACTCGCTGGAATAGACAAATACCGCTGTTCAGGTTGTGCCCCATAAGTAGGGTACTACTCCCTGGCTGTTGCTCATGTCTGCAAGTAGAACCGTCCCTTGACGTGTGTTTCTTTTGTGCACATCTTCCATAAATGTCATAATAACACCGGATTTCTTGTAAGCACTCGATGCCGTTGGATCCACCTCTCTTGTTTGACCAAAAACGAACTCCACGGTACAAAAAGCCATATTAGGCTTGTATCAAGCTGTCTCATTCCAAGAAAGGGCGTGGTCGACTAGGGGTACTGTGTTGGTTTGAATAACGAGGGTGTCAAGTGCGGCATGGTTTTTAACCGAGGAGTTTGGCGACTCCTGATTCCTGAGCCATGGGAGGAAACCGCTCCCCTTTTCTGGTCACTAACTATCCCCAACAGGTGGTTTTGCATTCTAATTTTCCGTGGTTCAAAAACCCCTTGTGCCCGAATATTCTATATCCTAGCATATAATGCACGTGCCTAAGGCATGGATGCGGGCTGTGAACTATATATATTTTCTTCCCCGCAACCTTGGCATAGACTGCACCGATAAGTGAAGAGCAAAAATGTGGACATCGCGCGAGGGTTAGCATCGGAATATCTCACTGACGGTATTTGTACTAACTAACAATCGAACAGGATTTACCGCCGACGTCTGCGGCAAGCTGATCCAGAGGACTCTTCTTAGTCCCTGGAAGACCCTACCACTCTTGCTCCTGGCCCAATTCACATCTCACGGCCGCGAGATTGCGCAGCAGCATCCACGATTGCTTTATACACTACATGGACTAGCATCACTGACAGTTCTACGTCGTCTCAACGCGTGGATCAACCACAAGGTCCTGAACAATGGCGTCTCGGACCAGTACGATTGGACGAGAGAAGTTGTCGTCTTGACTGGGGGTAGCAACGGGATTGGAAGACAGATAGCACTTCTACTGGCAAAGCGGGGGATTACCGTTGCCATTTTGGATATTGAGACTCCATCAAAGGAGACAGAAGATGGAGACAAGGTTCATTACTATGAGTGTGATATCACTTCCGCTGATGCCATAGCTTCAGCGGCTACAGGGATCCGCTCTTCTCTGGGTACGCCTACGGTTCTCATCAACAATGCCGGTATCTGTACCGGCCAGACCATCCTGTCTGGAACGGAGGCACAAACCCGTCGCTTGTTCGAGGTCAACACCTTCTCCCACTACCACATTGTCCGCGAGTTTCTCCCCGCTCTTATCACGGCCAACCACGGTATGGTGGTTACTGTCTCCTCGCAGTCCGGGCACATCACTGCACCCAACATGGTCGACTACTCCGCCAGTAAAGCGGCCGCTGTGGCTTTCCACGAAGGTCTTGCTGCGGAACTGACAACCAGGTACCACGCCCCACGCGTGCGGACCGTCCTCGTGGCACAGGGTTTCACCCGGACGGGACTGATTCGGAACCTCACCCCGGAGGATACATGGTTTAATCCGTTACTCGAACCCGAGACCGTTGCAGAGGCTGTGGTTGACACGGTGATCAAGGGACGGAGCGGGAGGGTGGTTGTACCGGGGACATCGGGGTGGTTGGCATGCAATATTAGATCGCTGCCGCTTTGGATACAACATTGGACGAGGAATCGGCTGGAAAAGCTAATGAGAACTTTTTGATTATTGCGATCTACTTTGGCAGTGATCTATAATTGGTATATTAAACTACCTTACTCCTACGGAGTGAGTGTTCGATTCATGCACTAGACGTGATAGGCCAGCCACACCAACCACCCATTTCGAGTGGCGTCAATGCCTGAGCTGAACCCTCCTGGTTAATTTTAGCTGGCTTCCCTCTGGATTTCGTACTTTGTACAGAGTAGTAGTGCAGAATTTTCTTTTTCTTTTCCTTTCCTTTTCCTTTCCTTTTGTTTTGCTTTCCCTCAGCTCTAAAGTGAGTGCTTCGTTGGCTGTTGTTTATTTTGCCGTGTTTTCACGTGCAGTGGAGCCTCACCGCGATTGACTCTCCACCCGTCAAGTTGTCTTCTTGACCTCGACAGCACAGCAAAAAGTGAGCATCATCATAGCAACCGCCATTATTACTACTTTACTATCGCCATCGGGGATTTAATCTTATTACTCGTATTCCTCTTGTTCACTATCTTTACTCTCTTCACTGGTATAACCTCACCCTCAAGTCGCTTCCGTTCATCTCCAGCGCTCGGAACCACAGCTGAGACGCTAAATCTTAGCGGGTTCCTTTCCCTGGAGCAACGAGAGCTCCCAAGGCAGAACCACGGTTCTTTCCGCTTGTTTACAAACAATTCTCCCATGGTTTCCGTGCTGATTGAACTGTTTATTTCATACTAGATCTCTTACCCATTTTCTCCCCCGCACATTCCCCTGATCGATCTATTCAATAATAACACCACCACATTCCATTCTCCGGAATAAAAAAGAACGAGGCGACAGAAACCCCACATGATCGTGATCGCCTTTGCTGTTCGGGCAGCTTCGCTCTGATCACTTCCTGCCCTACGGAGTACTTATAATCTCTCAAAAACATCGAACACGGTCAACAACAACGATGTTTAAAGGCTTGATGAGGCGCTCGTCGTCCTCGTCGACCCCTGACGGGCGCAGCCAGTCCAACTCCAATGGCAAGAAGTCCAGCGGCATCTGGCGCAAGAAAACCGATTCCAAGTCCAAGGCTACCTCACGCGGCGACGACCGTGACCGTAGTCTAGGGGACTTGCCAGCTGATTCGGCACCGCCTTCGTCAGGTCGTCGGAGCTATGAGCCCAGTGTTGCTAGCGAGTCGGCCGCAAAGGTTGACCGCGATACACGGGGTGCGCGCAGACGTGATCGCGAACGGTCGTCCAGTCCAGAACCCGTGCCCAGGAGGCTGAACGGGAATGAGTTTCGGAGTCGGGATGACAGCGCCAACGAAGAGAGCAACCGGCGGAGAGAGCCACAGCGCTGGCCGCCTGGTGATGTGTCTCTTCCCCCACTAGACACTGGTGCTGCACACACGACTTCTGATCAATTCGCTGCCGATATTGCGTCGCCTGGCTTTTCTCAATTTCCTATGCAATACGATAATAATTATAATTACGACTCCCCTAATTACAATAATCCCGTTTCGATTCCGCCGCCGCTAATGCCAAACCATCCCGATTCGTCTCCTACTTCGCCTGCTACATTCGACCCTCACGTCCCGCAGCAATTCCCAGGCCAATTCCCCACGAATACAGCAGAGCCCTATCGTCCGTACAACAACCCGGCCGGAGAGGCAGCGGATTACTACGGTGACCAGGGGCAGTCGGTTCAGAACCAACCAGGTGTTCGTCCCAACCCGCCCCTGGTCATTCCCAACAGCCAAGCACATCTGATGCCCGCTTCTCCGGGCGCCAACCCGCCTCCAGAGCCTAGTAGCATGGGACAAGTTGGCTCCGCGGCGGAATTCTATGCCGATTCTCCAGACCTGGATAATCCGGTTCCGCAACAACAACCGCCCGAGGAACCTCCCAAACCCTCAAAGCCAAGCAAACCCTCTGCTGCCCCTGCCGGTATTCCTAGTGGCCCGCCCAGCTATGACACTCCAGACTCTCCTGTGCCGCCTGAAGCACCTGGATCGGCCGGTACCCAGCCTGTGGGGTACACTCAAAACAGCCCTACTCAATCTCATAGCATGGGCCCCGCCATCGGAGCGGCAGCAGCGGCAGCAGCAGTGGGATACATGGCAAATCACCACCATAACTCATCAACGTCGAGTTCTGAGCATCCTTTGCCATCGTCGTACACGCAGAACCACGAGCCTTACTCTCCCATAGGCCAGCCAGGTCCAGCCATATATCCAAATCCCGCCTTGAATAACCCCAACTACGCTTCCCACCCGAACCACCCAGATCATGAAGCCGTTTATCACTCGTCTCCGTTTCAATCGGGTGGTTTGGCGTTTCAACAGCGTCAGCGAGGCCCCTTGGACAAGTTTATCGACTTCTGGAAGGACCATGAGGGTGTTGGCATGTACGAGGAATACACAGAAGCCATTGGGGTCTGCAAGTACTGCTTCGAGCCCGGTACCACCTCGCGAGATGCCCCGCGGAAGCATAACTACCGGCCGCGCCGCCGCTCTTCAGATCGCTTCAGCAATGACTCCAGGGTGGACAAGTCGAGTCGCTATTCGCCCCCCTCAGACGACGAATCTCGACGACGCAGGAGCTCATCTAAGAGGTCTTGGTTTGGCGGTTTATTCTCTGGATCCGCGGCTAAAGCTTTGTTCGAGAGCCAGGATTTCGAGGATTCGTACAACGTTCGACCAAGCCGAGTCAGCAGTCCGCGCCTTTCATCCTCTGACAGCGAAAGTGATTCGGACCGCAAGAGCAAGCCTTCACGTCGCCGCAGGCGTTCTTCTCTCAGTCAATCACCAGGCGGTAGCAGGTGCAACTCCTATTCGGACCCAAGGAGGAGCAGATACGAAGGACCACGTTTGCGATCTCGATCTCGATCTAGCTCCGATTCTCGATCCAGGTCCTCGTCCCGATCGGACCGTCACTCCCCCATTCGCGATTTTGCCCTCGGAGCTGCGGTTGGTTCTGTTGCCGCGGCAGCCACGTCCCGCCCTCAGAAGAGGCGCAGTCGCTCTCCGAAGAGGAAAGGCAAGGGTCGAAAGAAGTCGACTACGGAGGATTCTTCGTCTTCTTCCTACCTCGATATCTCAAGACCAACTACCGCGGGGAGTTTGGGATCTTTCTTCAACACCCCTTCTGAAAACAAGAAGAAGCCCAGGCCCAAATCGCGAAAGGGTTTCTTCCCGTTTAGTAATAATAATTCTTCCTCTTCGTCCTTGGATGATGATCTTGCATTCGGAACGGCATATGCAAAAAAACCCAAGAAGTTGAAGAAGGGAAAAGGGAAGAAGAAAGATGAGGACGTGAATGCGAAACTCCTTGAATTGAGTGCCATGGCCACAACATTGGCCGGCTCCACTCAAGGCCGTCGGTCTGGTGAAATTCTCGCCGGCAAAGATCCGCGGTCGCATCGGTCTCAGAGCGCCCCATCTGCTCCCAAGGATGACGAATGGGAAGATTATTCGGAAGGACAGGAATCTAGCGTTAGTTCCGCGCTGGCGTTTGGTGGCAGCAGTCAATATGGCGGAAGCAGCAGCAGCGAAGATTCATCCGACTCGGGGACATCGAAGTGGAACTGGAGGTGGGGAAGCAAGAAGGACAAGAAAAAGAATGAGCAGAAAAAGGACAGTCCATCTCACGGTGATTTCCCCACTGGCTCCATTCTCGCTGGCACTGCTCTTGGAACGGCTGCGTTAGCTTCGGGTTACCGTAAAGAGGGGGAACACTTCTCCAGCCCCAGCAGCAGCAGCTCTGAAAGTTTACAACAACTGGACCCCATCCCCGCCTCAGATCCTCCGCGTTTCAATGCTAGTAGCTTCCCGTCATCGTCTTCTGCCCAGGAGCCGGCTTTTATTCGCCCCGGGCCGATTCCGCTTCAACAACCTCAACCTGTAACACCGGTGTCGCAGGCTGTCTACTCGTCTCAGGGAGAGCCGGCTCCAGTGTACAATGCCCCCACCATTCCTCCGTTCTTTCCACCAGACGCTTTCTACGACCCCGCGTCTGGGGGACGAGACGAAATTTATCCGCAACGTAGCGACGTCTCTTCAAATTGGAACCGCACTCATCGGCGACGAGAGTCATCCCCCGACTTCTATCCCGGACCGTTTCAGGACTTTACACCCTCTAGCTACAAACGTCGCCCAACAGACCAAGCGTCAGTCCAGTTCGACCTAACCGAGGAACAAAAAGACAAGGAACGCCGTGCCGCCCGCCGCGAAAGAGAAAGACGTGATAACGACCGCGATCAAGACATCCAACTTCTTGACCATGAAAGTGAAGAAGAGGAGAACGAACGTCGAGAACCACGTCGCCTGGAACGCCTGGAACTAGAGCCCGAGCGAGGAAGGAGCAGGTCCCGTTCTCGATCATCGACTCGCAGAGATCGCTCGCCGGACCGTCGTCGATGGGACGATGACGATTCGTCATCTTGGATCGGCCCTGCCGCCGCTGGTACGATAGGCGCTGCGGTTGCAGCTGCGGCTATGCCGAGCGGGGCACCGAGTGAGAGCGCTTCTGAGAGTAGCCAGCGCCACAGGGAGCGCAGTGAAAAGCGCCGTGCTGAACGAGTTCCTCCGTTTTCTGAGGTGGGATGGGATCGGCCTGCTCGTGCTGAGCCCAAGGAGGAGCCTCAAACACAGCCAGAGCCTGCTGATGTTGATGTTGAGGATGAATCCCAGATAGCACCGGAAGATCAATCAAGACCTGGCAAGAACCCAACAACCAGGACCCCACGCACGAAGCCTACGCACGAAAGCTACGCTACGTATTTCGCTCCTAAGGAGGACCGACACAGCCCTGATGCACAAACGGAGCATCGAGAGGACGCCTCAATGTCTACGATACCTGAAGATGAGCCGGAACCTCCGTCCCAGCAAAATATCGAGCCTCCGTCGAAATATCTTGGAGGACTCCCCTGGAATGTTCCCCGATTGCATCTCATCGAGCCCACGCCTCCTCATAGTCAAAATGGGTCAGCAAGAGACGTTGCATCTCCTGATCCGTCCGCTGCAGAACCTTCCCAGAAGGAAGAAGCACCTCGTCGTGAACAAGGATCGACAACTGGCTCCCGCGTGTCATGGGGTGGAAACGAAACCCATGAATACGAAGTCCACTCGACATCTTCTGAGCAAGACTCTGATTATGAGATGGCGGACGAACCCGATGACATGCAAAGGGATCCTGTTAATCACGGGATGGCTCAAGAACCTGTTGGCATGCAAAGGGATCCTGTTGATCACGGGATGGCTCAAGAACCTATTGGCATGCAAAGATACCCTGTTGATTACAAGATGGCACAGAAACCCGAAGGCATGCAAAGGGATCCTGTTGATCACGGGATGGCTCGGGAGCCCGAAGGCATGAAAAGAGGTCCTATCCAGCAGGACATCGAGTTTGCAACTATCCTTGATGCCACCACCAAGGATGCAGGTTTCGATCCGGCAATTATGACTGCTGATCCTTACTACGATACGCGCTCGTCGCCACCGCAGGCTGAATACCACGAATTCTCGGAATATGAACCCTCTTGGCACAAACCTGCCCATCACATCTTCGAGCCTCATGGGGCTGGTCGGGATGAGGCTCAGACGCCTCCTCGCGAGGAAAGAGAACCAGAGGCTATGGAGTATGCACCTGAGGTCAAGTGGCACAGGGAGGCCATCGGACGCTTCAATGCACCCAAGGCCAAAGAGACCATGCCTGGTAGCTTCGAGGAAGAGTCAGTGAAACCAACCGAGGACCCTTCTCCTCGCCCGGTTGTCGAAGAAAAGCGCCCCAGGGGAAACGATAGACCACCCAAGAGGCGCTCAAGCCGGGACAGTGCTCGTGATGACCCAAGGAAAACTGCAATTGACGTCTCCCGGCCGGAGCCAATCAGCGAGGAGCCACGAAGTAAAAAGGAACGGAAGCCAGTGAACAACGACATTCCCTCCAAAGAGGACCGCGACATCAGGGTTCCAGGAGAGTTCGCGCCGATTGCACTTGCTGCTTTCCCGCCAGGGCCGATTAGCGAGGAGCCCCGAAGCGCAAAGAAACAGCAGCCGGTGAAGAATGAGACCCCCTGGGAGGATTACCATCAATCAGAACCCCCCAGGGAGAGTGAGCGTCCTGTTTCTCCGCCATCGCCAGGCAGCGGCTACCGCATGAG